GAATAGCTAAGAATATCTTGCCACCTCAAATTTCCAACTCTATGTAAATATTTGACTTTATTGAAATAACATTCTGCGTAAAATTTATACAATAATACTGCTGAATTATTTAGAATAAAACATCTGCTCGCAATATAGGCTTTGTAATATCCAATTTTACCATATAAGATTTAATTTACAATGATTTAAAATATAAGACATTATAAAAAGTTCAGTTTAATTTCATTTAATCCTGTAATTACATTATTATAAATACGGAAAAATAATATATATATATATATATATATATATATATATATATACTGACAGTATTACAGATGAATATTTAATTTACGAAAATCTAACCATTTATAAATTACTAATGAAAAAGAAAACAAACGTGCGCTTGAAACATTAAAGTGCGGAGAGATCTTTAAAGAAATTAAAAAAAATTAAATTCATCACCTTATGCATTTGAAATAACATCATAAAATTTCCATTATTAAAAAAACATCTTTAACCATTGGAGACGGGAGGTGGAAAGATAAAAGAAATAATAAAATGTGCCAAATAAATAAATAAATAATCGTGCTTATACATTGGATAATTGCTTTGCATAATTAAATTTATTGATGTAATTATAATGTATTTTAAGACTGGAATGCAAAACATTAAGTCAATATAATAATGCCTATAATTAGTTATCCCTTATTATATTGCAGCATAAAATTTATTAATATATAAAATACTCGTAGTGAATATAAAAAAAATTTGCCACGAGACATTACCATAATTAGTAAATATGTAATAAATAAAACTGTATGATGTTGAAAAAAGGATTAATGGGCAATATAATAGAAAGTATTCGACTACTGGTATTATCAACGAGTACTTCTATTATGCATATGCCATTTAATCAAATACCAAGTATTTCGTATGCGATGTAAGTATGTGAGAATTAATAATATTTGAATATCGAATCATAATGTTCCCTTTCGATTTATTGAGGCATTTTTTTTCAATAAATCCGAGCCGATTGTAAATAGCGATTAGAAAATACTAGTTTATTGTATCGATCGTTAATCCCCGATTGTCAATATAAATACAGTCGAGAGAGACCATTTTTATATGTCCACTAAACATCAATTCTATTATATTTACTATTACTTATCTATACCATTGATACGGTAAAAATTCAAAATTAATTTTTTCATTATGTTCTTTTTTCTTTTTTTTTTCGTTTTGTTTTTATATTATCGTTGAGAATCTATCGATAAGTAATATTGTCGTTAAATTCGTTATTAAAGTCTATGGTATATTAAATTAAAGTACTGTTAAATATTGTTTAAATAAGAACTTGGTAAATTTATAAAATATGATTGCATTATAGCTTGAAAATATTAAATTATTCATAATATCGAGCCACTGCACTTAACAATAATTACAATATTAATAATTCGTTGTTGACAATTTTCCTGTATATTTGAAATGAAAAATGTTTCCTTGGCGCCAGACTGGTATCTATTTGAAAAAATACGAGAGACCCACAAGTGGCTTTCACTCGAGTGCGTGATCCTGCAAATTTTAGGAGACTCAAGAATCAACACAAATTCTCTTTGATTTTAGCAAAGTCTCGGTAAATCCTTTTCCTGACAATTTTTTCATATCGAGACTTAGATAAACTGAAAAAGCTCAACGTCTATAGTTCTGTTTTCGTCATTTTCATCTATTTGTGGATACGGTTTCCTTAGACTATTGGCTAACGCTAAAATCCGCTCGCTCGCCCCCCCCCCCC